AAAACCAGCTCCCCGGGCATTTCCAGCGTCCCGGTGTCGGGGCCTGGCAGACGAGACGCAGTGCAGCACAGCCGAGACACGAGCACCGCGGGGCCCTGTCCCCCCGCGGGGCCCTGCCCCAGCAGGGTCGCAGTGACGGCCCAGGAGCCCTTCGCTCTCCGTGGCCCTGCTCCTGCAGCGCCAGTGATGCTGGATCCCGCTGGATGCAGGCAGGCACAGCGGGCTGCAGACCCTGCAGAAACTGCTCACCTGCTACGGGAAGAAAGGAAGAGCAGGTGGAGGGTCAGGAGAGAGAGACGTTGCTGGAAAAATGTTACAGTGGGCACGTCTGTCCCCACAATTTGCAATGGTTTTCTAAGCTCGTCTAAGGCTGCTCCAGAGGCAGGTCCAGGCTGCTGCTGTGCAGAAGAGCTGGGCCCAGGGCATCACCTGCCCGGGATCCTCCCTGCCCCAGCAGACACAGCCCGGGTACAGTGTGCCTGGCACAGCTGGAATTTAGCAAGCACAGGCGCAAAAAAAAGAGGCAGGAATGGGAGGGAAACCTGCCTGTCCCTCAAACTGAAGCGTTCCTCCTCCAAACCCTCCCCTCTAGCACATCTTGGGTGGAACCGGAGCTGCAAACGCTTTTGCGTTTGACCCAGAGCTGGGGAGAAGGGGAGGGCCTGCAAGGGGGCTCGCCCATGGCAGGAGGTCCCGAGGCCACATGGGTGCCACTGCCCAGAGCGCCGCCTCTGCGGAGCCGGGCTCTCTGCGACCCGGGTCCCACCCTGCGCGTGGGGCTGCAAGCCACGGCGAGGGTTCCTTGCTGTGCTGGGGGCACCTTCCAAACTCGCAGAGCTGAGAATCGCCCCATTGAGGCAGCCCGTGCAACCTGCCTTCAGCCCCAAGCCACGCTGCGACACGGATTCCCATCACGCCATCAACGCTCTGCCTTCCCATCCCTCCTGCCTCAGGCTTAGCGGTAATGAGCCATGCCAGCTCCCTTTCCTCCCCAAGAAGCTTGACTTCTTACTTCCCCAGGGACTCTTCTGCAGCATCCTGGAGCTTCCAAGAAGAAGGTGTTTATTATCAGAGCTCTTGGTGACTTAAGGAGGAATTATCCCCACTTTAAAGTTGGAAAACCCACTTTAAGATAGCGGGAATCTGTCTGTGCAGAGCACTCAGCATTGCATTACACAGCACTTTTCAGATGCAAGACTCGTCTCCTGCCATCTCGCCTTGCGGGAGAGTGCAGGATCTCTGTGCAGGAGACACCCGATACAGGGGACAACGGGAGCAGGAAAGGACACAGGTGCCAGCAAGCTGCAAGGGGACAGCAGAAGCAATGCCTTTGCCATCAAAACCCGCCAGAAGAGCCTTAGGCCACAAGTTCAGCTACACCAATTGAAGCCAGTGGAAAGACTGTCCTGAATCATTTTCTAAATATTATCTACAGCAAGAGCAAGGGGAGGATGCAGCTCTGCGGGGCTGTCAGTCCTGCCGTGTGACTGCCCCATTTCCCTGGTCCCCAGCCTTGGTCATCGCATCTTCTCCCTCTCAAGTCAAGCTGGTGGCCAGGGTGGCCTCGTCAGTAGTGGGGCCTGACCCACCCCAGAGCTAACAGAGCCTGGAGCCTCTGCGCAGCAGCAACATGGTCAGAAGGAGCACGACGTGTCTGTGCTCATGATTTCCATTTTTCCATTTCGAAAGGAGATAAAAGCTAATTTGCACAGACAAGGTTAACTCCTGTATTTCCTCTTGGTTCTTCCGAGAAGCAAAACCCCAACCCCACACAGCACGCTCCTGCGCCAACCCCAACCATGAGCAGGTCTCTTGGGTCTGTTGCTCCAAGGCCAAAGCATCACTGATGGCAGGAAGCAGTCGCCACCATCTCCTCGGGCCAGTGCTCAGCAGTGACGCAACAGGGATGACTCAGGCTTTGCCAGCAGGTTCCGCTGCCAAGCACCTCTGGGACCACAGATCCTTCTCCCACACGGAAAAATGCCATCCTGGGTCCGAAGCCTTCTGTCTCTGAGCTCTTTCAGTTCTCTCAAACCAACTCCTCTCTCTGTCTCCTCACATGGTCCAACTTCTGTCCACCAGCAAGGTCCCTCCCAGCACCACCTCAGCTGCTTCCAGTCACTGCTCTCCTCAAAGTTGCTCCGGGCTCTCCCTGGCTGTCACACACAGAATCCCAGAAGGCCTGAGGTTGGAAGAGACCTCTAGGGATCATCCAGTCCAA